ATACATATACATATACACATACACATACACATACACATACACATACACATACACATACACATACACATACACATACACATACACATACACATCTATATATATATTAGATGTTCTTCCAAATAAATCTGGAAATCTGTTGGGAGAAGATGCCAAAATTCCCCCATTAAAGAGTTAGATTGTGAAATGATCCAATTTAATGGGCACTTGTCTGGATCACTCCATTGATTTCTCTGTTTCAAAAAATATAAGCAATGCAGCTATCTCATTCTGCCTTACCTTGCTTGCTTCCCCTCTTCTGATGATCTGATGTCTCCTCCAGCAATTTCAATAGCCTCCAATAATTCCAATAAGATATGCAGAACTTTCCTCCACCACTAGCCTACTGGTCGAGGCTTCAGGTTTTGTCAAATCACTATTGGAGTAAATCTTTTTGCTTTGATAAGGAATATTGTGTTGCCTCTGTGAAACAATGTGCCTTGTCAAGGGGAATCCCAACTCAGATTTATTAAACTGCTAGTCCCTATCTTGAGGGGGAAATGTTATTGTTGTTGTTGTCTTCACTACTGTTATTGCAATCCAATAACCAATAGGAATAATAGGTTTTCTGGATAGTTCAGAGTTGATCAAAACAGTAAACAATAAAACAGTGGAAATACATTTCTGACAGTATAGGATAAGAGAGTGAGATATAGAAAGAGATAGAGACAAAGACAGAGACCGGGAGAATTTACCATAAGAGGCACATAAAATCAAAACTATATTCTCCCCCCTCTCTTTCTCATCTCTCTTTTATCTATCCATTTACTTCCGGTGAAGAATAAAGTCTTAGTTTAGATGAAAGGATCAAGATTAGTACCATGCTTATCTTATAGGCAGGCCATTTAAAGGGAGAGTCTCCAGAAATAAAAGTTCTGTGCTCTCATAGGTCCTCACCTAATGTTACTTGCAGATGATCTCCAGAGTCTCTAGGGAAGTCCAGTTGTTAGGAGCCATTGGGATATTTCTGTAGATATGGCTCCAAGACATCAGTTTAAACTACTGCATCCTAAATGTTTAACAGTCAATGCCACCAACAAAAGACTATGGTGATTTAACTGTATACTAGATAGCAGCCTTGAAACTCTCTACTCACATATTTAAACTGTCATGCCACGTAAAAGCATGACATAAAAAAACCCCACGTAACCAAATTCGTTGCAATGGAAAAGAGCAGACTAAACCAAATCTTAATTCCTACATCAACTGCATTCTTTCAAGAATCTTCAAATTCAGATGTAACAAGCATTGTTCAAATGTAAGATGCATCAAACTAGATCTAATCCAGCTTAGGCACTGAAGTGAGTAGCCTCCTTTCTTGGAAAAAAAAAATTTTTTAATTAAATGTTCACAATTGAAAATGCATAGTTCAAAAATTCATTAACAAATGAGATTGCTTCCTCCAAGCCATGGATCTTAATGGAGTACACTAAATGCTCCAATGAAATAACAACAAAAATTCAGAGCATGTCATGCTCATACCACAAAAATAAAATAACAGCAAGCTTGGGATGATTGCTATATCCTGAATGAGATATGTAAGTGAGGAAGAATGTGGGATCCCTCAAATTAGACATTATATTGTCATAGGGATAATATTCATAAAGCATCACCAGCCCCACATTCATTTACTTGCTTCCCTCCAATAGATATTTGCTTAGGCAATAGCAAATGTTGGTAACACTTGCTCCCTAATGGCCAAATCATTTGTGTAAGTAGAGAGTCATCAGTACAGTTCAGATGTGGTATTCAGCAGGTTCTGATCAGTTCTGGAGAACCAGTAGAAGAAATTTTGAATAGTTCAGAGAATCGGTAAATATCATCTCTGACTGGCCTGCCCCATCTATTCTCTGCCTCCCGAATCTCAGCTGATTGGGAGGAAATGGGGATTTTACAGTATCCTTCTCCTGGAATGGGGAGGGAATGGATATTTTATAGTATCCTTTCCCTGCCACGCCCACCAAGCCATGCCCACCAAACTATGTCCTGCCCATTAAGCTGTGCCCACAGAACCGATTGTAAAAAAATTGGAATCTCACCACTGGTGCAGTAACTACAGTTACTTATGTATTTCCCATTCAACAGTGTCTTTTACCACTCACCCCCTATGTGGGAGTCTCTCTCCCCCCCTTATTAAACCATTGCACTGCCCATAGACTTCATATCTTCTGTACAGAGTCTCAATGAACTTATCTTTGTTGGCAGCCAAATTTTGTATGATGTTTTTATGTAATGTAATAAAAAAGGCAGTGCAAATAAAACAGTTGTGTTTTCAGCAGCATTAACAAGACAATTGTCATCTCTTTCATTGGAAATATTAGGTGTATCTTTAACATCAGACAGGAGAACTGGGACTATGGATATACTTAGAGGAAAGAGAAAAGTTGGGGATATGTAGCCCTGACTATATGTCTCTTTTTGTTGCTTTGGCCAGAAAAATGAAGAAATTCCTATTTGCATGTTTTCATTAGCCCCTTTTATTATGACAACACATTTTCTATTAAATGTCTTAGACCATTCTTGGATTGGGTTTTGGAAATCAATTGTAAAATTCATTATAAAGGTGATAGACACTGGATTGGGCAATCAATTTGTAAATTTAATTTAATGTAAGCTATTGTAGTTCATGAAAACTCATTTGCTAATAGATGGGGGACAGGTAATAAATTTATTTTACAGCCAGGAGGAGAAAGTAAATTTATTAGTAGAATTATGAACCAAATGGGTGCTAGGAAGAAATCTAATTATTTTAAAGGTCTATGACTGCTTTGATGAATTATTGTACATCAATTAATTAGTTAAAATTGACATTAAGTATATTTGACTTGGTTGCATCCCATTTTGGGAAAGGCTTTGTCCTTGTGGCACCCATTTCAATATGGTGTCCCTGATAGTTGCTTAACATTCTAATAATCATAAATAAATTTGTTTCATCCTTGACAGACTAGCATGTACCTATGACTATATCAGCTTGAATTCATACTACAAAACATTTTTCTCGTAACCAATGGATGTCAAACTTGTGTCGTCACAGCATCGTTATGTAACAACATGAGTTTGATGTAGCATGACTTTTTTCCCTTTCGGTAAACCGGGCATGGGTGTGGCCAGTGCATGACACATCTGGCCCATGGGCCATGAGTTTGACAGCCCTGTCCTAACCATTTGCTCTCCAGATATGTTTCTATACCAGGCTTATTATGAGAGTTGTTTCCCTTCACTTCCTGTGAACACCAATTAGTATATTTAACTCAGACTTCTTTCAAAGTTAAGATAGCAAAGCACTCAGCAGGATATTTTGGGGAGTTTCTTTTCTATTCTGATTGATTGGCAAGACTTTAAGACTCAGTTTATTTAGCTGTATATTTATTTTATGAATTGGAACAGAATACACTGTGTGTTCTGGTAATTGCCAAGGCTTGACCCCATTTGATAATCTGGATCGAGAGGTCAAGGAGAGCTCACCATTGAGATTTGATTTGTAGAATTCATATTAGTCATTGTACTAAAGATGAAGTTCTCCATAGTAGCTCACTCTTGGTTTCACTGGAAGATACTTTTTAGTTTCCATGGGAACAAATTAGTCCACAGTTTTTTTTTAATGCTGCTATTTTATAGTAGTGGGTTTGAAGCACAACTCAAGCTGTTTTGGTATTCAGCAGGTGTGATGGGGGAATATGAGCCAAAAATTGAAGTGCGTTTTCCAGAGACTATACAGGCAGCAAAAGGCACATCCGTTCAGCTGGAATGTTTTGCCCTTGGAAAGTAAGGATTTTTATCTTTTCTTTATTTGGGGAGGGGGAGTTATAAACTAAAGGCATTTCACAAACACTTGACTAAATAGCAGATTGGATTTGATGGCTAATACATGTTCACACAAAAATGTTTTATTTAATATTTTCATATGATTGGACCTTATCAAAGTTGCGTGTAAAAAAAAAGGTGAATGAAATCCTCATCATTCAGTTCACATTTTAATTCAAACTTCCCAAATCTGCAGTTATCAAACTGATATGCAAACTAAAATGCAATTGACTTTCAGAGCTTCAACATCCTTCTCCCCTCCATATCCCACTCCAAAAAACAATGTATTGTGTTATGGGATTCAGTAGGCCTGTATTATACTTGTATTGTTAAAAACTATGACATTCATCTCCTACCTCCACACAAGGATGTGCAAGTATTACACAACATCCCCAGATGCTTCAAAAATGCATTAGGGAAAGTTCACAACCAATGATTATTATAGAAGATATATTGTAGTAAAAATAGATATACTAATGTTAATGGAAATATGAAATTTGCACAATAAAAAATGTGGTGCAAATAATATGAAACAATCTAGTTTACACTTTGCTTATCTCTTTAGCTGCTTTCAGGCTGTATATTTGAGATTAAATTCCAAACAAGATTCTTTAATTAAGGATTGACTAAACTGCTATGTTTTTTGATAACCAAGCCTAATGAAGGTAAGCACACACACACACACACCTAAGTATAAGAGGTATCAATAAATCAACAGCACTGGCAATAACACTTAAACTTATATACCACTTCACAATGTTTTACAGCCCTATATAAGTGGTTTACAGAGTCACACAGAGCCGTGGTGGGCCCACCTGTGATTTCTGCTACCTGTTCAGGTGAACCGGTCTTAACCAGCTGAATACCACATCTGATTATAAGCATATCTAATTTGACAAGTTTTTCTATAGTAAATCCTCAGTGCTGACATCCAATATATACAGCTTTGGAAATAACTTCTCAGTTTTCCTCTAATCTATCCATTTAAAAGACAAATGGACCGAGTCTCAGTTTCTTTGTTAACTTCTTTCTAAGGAGACAGACCAATTTTCTATTTCCTTTTACTTTCCAATTATTATTTAACTGATAATTAGGTACTGATAATATGGTTAGACTGATGCCAGCAATACCTTAACCATAGATAACCACCTCTGGCACTGAAAAATTCCTCTGAATTCCATATTGGGACTTATAGAACACCCCAATAACATCATTTAATGAAAACGAGAAGTGCTTTCCTTACAGGTCACTGAAGAAAACTAACATATCTTACACAAATTCTCTTTAAAAGTTCTTCTTAAAACTGTGACTAGTGCCAACTAGGTTCACCAGCTAAACTGATTCTCTAATGAAATAAAAGCCGCAGATTAACTAGTGACTATGTTTCTATAGTTCTATAAAGTTCTATATTTCTATAAATCTTCTTCCAATGAGAATTAGCTAGTCAGTTAATAGTTGCATGTTCTCAGAATGGTAGGAAATTACAGAAACAGGTTTACTGACTTGGTCAATAAATCAAGGCTTCTGCCCCAAATTCAGTCAATCCCCCGCCCCAAAACCCCTATTCTATACTATGCTTTATTTTTCCATGCCTTTTTTTGTCCAGTTCTTTGGTTTTCTAGATTGTTTTTCATTTGTTTGTGTGCTGATTATTGATTGCTAGCTTTTGTATGTAATTAGAACACTCATATCAGGGTTTTTTTAAAAAAAATCTGCAACAATTCACTTGGTTCCCTTTTATTAAAATTAAAACCCATTATTCATTGTAACTCTGGTGTTAGATTTGTGCTAGCACCACACATTGTAAAACTGCCTAAGGCTGGTCATTTTATTTAAAGGAAAAAACTAGATAGATTTGTTTAAAAGCTTAGTGCTGTAGAATGGATGTCTCCTGTAAGCTGGTTACCCCAAAATGTAAGATAAGTAAATGACTATCTCTCTTTTAAAAAAATATTTTTATTAAGTTACAGAGTTTTATAAAATACAAAAGTAAATAGAAGATCAGTTATGGGGGAGGGGAAAGGAGGAAGACAAGTGAGGAAAGATAAGGAGAGGGGGGGAGGAAAAGAAGCAGTGACTTCCAGCTCTTTCTGTTACAGTAAAATAAGGCATTAACACCAAATTACTGCTTTCTGCTTTTCCATGATAGTATGAACAAGTTATTTCTATAAAGATCTATCAATCTAATCTGTAAAAACCCAAAGTCAGAGTTTCCTTCTTTTCCATCTCAAGCCCAAAGTTCAGAAATGGTTTCCTTGTGGAAACAAAAGTACTTATGTTCTTTTCTTTAATCAAAGTTGTCAGTTTTGCCATTTCAGCCAACTCCATCAACTTCTGCAACCATTCATCCATGCTAGGAATCAAAGAGTCCTTCCATTTTTGTGCATACAATGGTCTTGTTGCTGTCAACATATATAGTAACAAAGTTACATTTTTTTTTCTCCAGTTCTCTTTCCATTAGACTGAAAATGAAAAGTTCTGGTTTCATTTTTATCTCCATTTTCAGGATTGTATGTATTAAAATATAAATCATCTATCATCTATCTATCTCTGCATGTCATTTGAATGACATTTCATGCACATTTTAGGATTGTGTTTCCCAGCCAATTTCCTACCCTATTTTCATTTTTTTTATTCCATTCAGCAAAACATAAAGAGAGTTCTGCTTAGTCAGATGGAATAGCATCTTATGTCCCATGATAAGCACTCAAAATCTACCAGTTATCTGGTATGTCCTCATGTTTGCAAAACTGGCCCCAAGATCAGATTTTTGATACTAAAGTGGCAACTCATTGTAACTTGAAGTCCAACCACTGTTCAGTGTCACTGTCTGGCTGGCAAATCCCTTAGTTAAACTGGTACTGTGAATCATATTAGCAATATCAAAAATTGTACAAATGCTAAATATTAATATTTAGTAAAAAGCACAGTTCTCATCTAAATTGTTCAGTGTACTGCATTGTGTGCTGCATTATTAGCCCCAGGAATTGGGCAGATCATTGACAAGAACATGTTCTCTCTTTCCTATTTGTCCCCATAGTAATCAATTCCTTCCTCTACCATTTTGAAATGGAATCTCAGTTTTACTGTGCTGTTAAATAGCTTTCATTTTATTCACAAATCATCCATTTTCATAGTGCACAATTAAATGTGTCAATGTAGTGTTGTTGTTATCTTGCCTGTTCTACATGAATATCTAATGGAAAGGAACCATCCCAAGCCATCAAGTTCAATCTGTTACTGTAAGGATAGGAATCCAGATGAAAGTTGCCCTTCCAGCCTCTACTTGTTTAGTGAAGACAAATCTTCTGTTTTTTATTATCAGACTCATTAATCACCTGTTCATGGTATATGAGTCATGGTGGCACAGTGGTTAGAGTGCAGTACTGCAGTCTACTTCTGCTGACTGTCAGCTGTCTGCAATTTGGCAGATCAAATCTCACCAGGCTCAAGCCTTCCATCCTTCCAAGATGGGTAGAATGAGGATCCAAATTGTTGGGGGCAATATGCTGACTCTGTAAACCACTTAGAGAGGGCTGTAAAACACAGTGAAATGGTATATAAGTCTAAGTGTTATTGCTAGTGCTGTTCTTTTTACAATTGGAGTCTGAATCCTGTTATTTTTAACTTACATGCTAGAATTATGGTTCACGGGTTGCAACTTCCTTCAGAGGCTTTGGGTATTTGAGGAATGTGATCGAATCATCCTTCAGTCTTCTCTGCTCAAAACTAAGTGTACACAGCTACTTCAATTTCTTTTTACAGATCTTCTCATCATCCTTGATGCCTAGAACTTGACATAAAACCCACATAGAACTTCTCTTGTGATATAGTAATTGGACTTTTTTGATTCAAGTTTGAACTGAACTTTCTCATTTTGTAGTCACATCACACTTCTATTTTTGAGGGAGAGAAAGATTCCAACTAATCCTTCACTTCTTCTGGTCCACATTAGGCTTTGAAATAGCTGCCTAATATGAAACTCCTTCCTTGAGCTTTTCCATTTTTGTTTTATCCATTTTTTGTGCCAACATATTCTTTTTTACAAGGAGTCACACTTATTCCTGTCTGATCTCCAACCAGCAGTCTCTAACTGCTACTTTTCTCATACATTACCTTTTGTTTTTTGCCTTTTTTTGCCTTCTTAACTTCCTCCACCTGAAAGAGAATACTAAGCATGCCACCAGCTGATGTTTCCTTTGGATTTGCTGTCACATTAACACCACAATCTTCACATGAAAGACTTACCGCTTACATTAGAATATATTTAGGTGACATTGTGTATGTCTTTGGCCAAAGCAGTCAAACCAAAAATATAAAAAGCCTGACCTACTTAATTATTATACTCTTTTAGAATGTAATTATTCTCTTATGTCAAGGTTTTATGTCAAAAAGCAGCAGCAACGGCTTTCTGATTTCTTCATTGTCTCATCTGTTTAACTAGCCATGATCTTAATTATCTGTGCTGTAAACTTAATTTTATCAAGAAATATTCCGTAAGACTAAATGATATACTGTAAGACTGAGAGATGGTATAGCCATGCCTTCTTCTTAAGAACGAGGTTTGTTTTCTTATGGGTGATTCTTGTGTTGTTTCAGTCAAACTGAAACGGATGCCAAGTTTGTCTCAACTTGTCACTTTGAAGAAAATGTTTTTCTTCTTCGCTTTTAATTTGGGGACTTATGAATCCAAACGCCTGCTGTCTGTTTTTGCAGAATATAGATACAAGTACCAACTCTAGCCCCGTGCTTTGATGCTTTCAGACAAACTAAGTCAAGATTTTATCTTCACAAAGATGCATATCTTTGTGCACTGAGCTCACTTATTTATGGCAAATACAAGAAAACTTTGGCTTTAAGTTCAACACATCTGAGAATGTGTTGTCTCTTGTAACAGAGCACATATTTGCATCTGTCGCTTGAGTGGTGTTGCTGTGTAATGAGAAACTGCAGAATATATC